AGATCCAAGCACGGTCGCTCTCAGGGACCGAGCAGAACCGCGGCGACCGGCCTGATGGGCAGCTGGGTTCGTCCACGTTATCGGGCCCTGAAAAATGTTCACCGTTTCCGCCTTCCGTTCCAGTTTGGAATGGGGAAAAAGTCCCGTCCTCTCGCAAAATTGACACAGGATGGAAAATACGTTTCCTGCCCTGCCCCAGTCAGAACCGCCCCCCCCAAAACCCAGTGTGGTCTAGGGATGTAATAGTAGCATCGATTAACTGATTAACCGATAAGCAAAAGCGTATCGGTTAATGCTAGAGATGACACGCATCCCCCCACTCACCAGTACATGTGGTAGCAGGCTGGCCAGCAGCCCGGCCTAGTCCTGGCTTGTCAGATCCGGGACCTACCCCCGCTGCGGTTCTGCATTTCGAGTGTATTAGGAGCCAGGCGGGCAGGCAGCCCGGCTCAGTTCCAACTCCCGCTGGGTCTGGAAGCTCAGACCCCCCCCCCCCCTCCCCGGACAGGGGCTGCTGCCAGCCAGCGCGGCTGCCTCTGTATCAGCGGGGTGCCAGGCAGCTGGTCCGCGAGGGGAGCTGGTTTTTAAACTGGCTCCCCTCACTGACCAGCTTCTGCCTGGCCCCCCCATTGCTGCTGCCTCTGATACAGAGGCTGCAGCGCAGGGTAGCTGGGGGCTCCTGGCGGCTGCTGGCCCCGCCCCCAGGGACTATAGACTAGTCGACTAGCCAATAAGAATTCATGAGGTCAATTGACTATTCAATTAGCCGATGTTTAACATCCCTGGGTTGGGCCCTAAAGCTGCTCTAATTACGTTGCAGTCACACAAAATGGGGAGCATAAAGGGGGGTTAAAGCCCCTCCCGTCTCCTTACGCCCCGGTCCCAAGTGCAGTAATGGAGAATCAGACCCTCTGCCCCATGGCGCTCCCCCCGCCGACCCCGGCGATGCCAGCACCTCACGGGCCTTTTCTCTTCCTCCCTAGGTGTCCAGCCAGGAGACGGACTGTCTGAAATTCAAGGCTCACCAGCACTTCGAAGTGGGCCTGATCCAGCCGGCAGCCGTGACGGTGTACGAGTACTACTCCCTGGGTGAGCGCACTCCTCGCTCGCTCCGCCCCCAGCAAAGCCGCCTGGCCCCAGCATGGCCCCCGGCCGGAGCCAGCTGCTTTTTACCTCGCCCCTGCTCGCTTACAGCCCTGCTGGCTCTTCGGGACTAGCCCACGAGGCAGATGGGGCTTTGATTCCCCACCGCTGCTTTAGGCTGGCGTGCCTCAGTTTCCCCGCTGCTCTCATGGGGATAATAGCCCTGCCCCAAAAAGGGGGTTAAAGGGCCAGGGTGCTCAGAGACAGGGACGCTGCCTTCGGTGCCTTCCAGCGGGGACCGGGGGAAACCTGAGCTCTGCTCCCAGCTCTGCTTAGAGAAGTCGGGGCTCCTGGGTTCTTTGCCACTGACTCCCCGGGTGACCTTAAGCAAGTCACTTCACTGTGCCGTGCCTCAGTTTCCTCTTTGGCAAAAGCCTTTCCACCATAATGCCACTCCCCTCTCCTTCTGCCCCCCCCCCCCGAGCAGTCAGGCCACCTGTGTGTGGGGGGGTCATTTAAGGAGAATGAATCCGCTGGGGAGTTACTGGACTTGCAAGCGGCTGGGCCTGACCAAAGTCCATCATTCCCAGGGGGTGCTCGGGCGAAGAAGGATCCGCTCTCCTAAGGGTGCCTGGAGAAACACAAGCCCCCTGGAGGGGGCTGGCTGTGCAGCCCCTGGCCTCTCGAGCCGTGTTATTTGTGTTTAATAAAGTAGGGCTCCAGCCGGTCCTGCATAGTGTTGGGAAGGGCAGCAGGGAAGGGAAACAAGCAGAGAGGCCTCGCAGTGCCAGCCTCGGCCAGCAGGGGGCAGTGCAGGACGGGCAACCGAACCCCATCCCCGGCAGAGTTTTAGCCCCAAAAAGGCAGGCGAGCCCGAGGCGCCACTGAGCTCCCCAAGGACGGTGCCCAGAGGCTGCGGGGATGGGCTGCAGGCTACAATCCTGCAACGCGGAAGGAGCTGCCCCAAGGGACCGGGGACGTAAAACCAGGTGTTCTGGATTTCCCGTGTTTCGGGGTTCTGGGGGGCAGGGACTGCCTCTCCCGGCGAGTGCGCCCCCGGGGCGGGAGTGCCCCCGCCTGGCCCGGCGTCCGTGTGGGGCTGGGTGCCGTGGGGGCCGGGC